CCAAATGGGAACTGTGGATTGTGTTCGCTATGTCTCACCTCATGTTGTGTGGAACTAGGATACAGTCTCCTTTGCTCAGTCCCATCCTCACTTGCAATTTGCCCAGCTTACAGTGGGAGATACAGGGCCTTTTTTAAGTGGCCCTTCATTTAAAATTTTACCTGAAATCTAAAATGGCAGCATTGTCTGAGCTTTTTTATCCATGCTTTTTAAATGTTACTTCAGAAGCGTGCAACAGTCGAGGTAAGATTCCTTTTTACTGTACCATGAGTCTATGAAGAGGCTATATGAAGCATTCCTTCTGTGAAATGCCTGGTGTGGGGGAAGGCTGAGTATTAAGTCCATCCTGTAAGTGATGATGTTCAGCTTTCTTTGTCCCAGCACCTTGCTGTTTTTCCCCTTTGACTCCATGGGACCTGTGAAGGTTACAGTCTGTGCCTGAGTGACTTCTTGAAAAGTAAGCATAGTAGCATGCTGGAGGCATAGGAAGTCTAGTTACAGTAAGCACTGATGTGAAAGAGATCATTTAAATGTTCTAGGAAAAGGTGGCACAGCAGTAGCTATGATAGTGCCTTGGAATAGGTATTTTTGTATAGTACCCTCAGCAGCTGTTCCCCTGAAGTCTACTGGGTGAAAAATACTCTTTTCTGCAGTGTTGCTGGCATTAACTAGCAGTCATTTCTGGTGCAACTGGAGAAAGGTCCGTTCCATTTATGAAAGATTCCTGTAATGTGTGCAGGTCCCAGTGATTTTGGTGAAGCAGGGCTGGTGAGCCTAGCCTGTGAGCTCTGCTGGTCACTCACCAGGTCTGAGACTCAAAGCCAGTCTAAAACCTGTCAGTATTTATGTAATTCTGTCTGAAGATTGCTTCTTGCAGAAAACCCAATAAGGAAGAGAGGTTTTGCATGCTCGGATGAAAATCAGTAACATTTAAGTACTTAATTTTTTTTTCCTGGAAGATTTGTCCATTAACTTTAATGAAGCTTTTTCTAGGCTTACAAGAAGAGAGCTATTAAACAAAAGGGAGTTTGCTTGCCAGGCATTTTCTCTGCTGTCTCAATTTTTTTTTTTCTTTATGGCCAAACACTTTCAACCATATGTCTCCAGAGAAATGCTAACTCTTAGTGACCAGTAAAGTAAATCCCACTTGATAAATTCTTGTGGCTGCACTATGCTGGGAGCCTTACGCTCAGGGCCTTGTTCTGTCACTGCTTGTTTTTTTTGTCTTACGTATTAAATGAAGTGATTTGGATTGGTGATGCAGGAGAAATCCTCTTCTGCCACTGAAAGGTGGCACGGTGTAATAAATCTATAAGTGTTATTTCCTCTTTTGTAAAAGGTAAGTCAGTTGGATTTCCTGCACCTCAGGCTAAGAGAACAAGGGCTGGATTTAAGCCATGCCACAGATGACCTTCTTTACTGGTGATTCCTACTGCCAAAGTAGGAATAAAAATATTTGTGTGGGATTTGCTTCCATAGGTCTCATCAGTTTGTGCTAGGACCACTGGAATTTGAAAACTAAGTGCCAGTGAGCCAGTTTGGATGCAGAGTCTTACCTCCGTGGCACCTGGGATGCCCCCCTCTCTTCACAGTGATCAGTGTCCCTAAAAACTGTCTGGGTTCATGTTTGGATTCCCTGAGCATCCTCGGGATGGGAGCTGTCTGCTGATGTGTTCCTCCCAGCCCAGGGAGACAAATGACGCCCACATCCACGCTCCTGCCTTCTCTGCTGGGTGTGTGTCACTCCCGTAGCCTTCCCACTTGCCAGCCCCTGACTTCCTTCACGAGCACTGAGGTACTGCATTTATCTTTTCCTCTTCTGTGGGAGAGGATGGACTCCAGTTTTAAATGAGCGCCCAACCTGCACCCCTGTCAGCTCTGTATAGTGCTGCCCAAAACTGCCCAAGATTTCTCTGTGTACCTCATATCTTCTTTCGATTGCAAAATACTGTTTGGAAGGCATAACTCAGGAACTCTGACTTTATTTTTCTTGCAAATTGCTTTTATGTATTTCTCTTGCTTGAAAATTAATTGGCCATAGAATAAACTGTTTTCCCTTGAGCAGGAACTACTCTCTTTCCTGTGACGTTACAGTAAGCTGTCCTTGGGCCAAATATTTAAAGGTATTTAGGTGCTTAAAGATGCAGGTAATGTGAATTTTCCGAAGTATCTAACTGCTTAATACACAGCAATTTCAGTGGGAGTCGCCATCTAAGAGCTTCTAAAAATCCCACTGTGCATCCATCTGCTTCTTTAGCCACCTAGGTTCCTTTAAAAAAAAAACAGGTCGTTCCTTCCATCACTTGAGACAAAAGTTATTTTTCTTAATGTAGATGGAGCATCTTAATACTGTTTCTTGGAATTTGCCTGCCACCTTTAACTTATTTTCATTGTTTTGATTATGATGTCAGATCTGGTTGATGATCATGTTTATGCAGTTCCAAGCAGAGCGTAGGCACACAGCATCTATCCTTTATGACATGAGCTTGGCACAGCATCTAATATTAATAAATCAGGGCTAAGAGGTTTGTAGGCAAGCTAACTGTCAGGAAGTTACTGTAAGTTTTGCCATATACAAAGTGATCTGTGTTTTGTTCTAACTTTTTAAACCCTCTTTGAAAACCGGTATTCTGTTTCTCATTAGTCAGTCTTTGATCCAGTGGAAATATCAGTCCCTTGAGTTAATATTTCATCTGACCATAGGGCCATGTAATTTGCCACGACACGAAGTCAATAGGTCTCTGCTGGCTTACCCCAGCAGGACTTGTATGGAAGGAAGAAAATTCTCCACGAAACATGAATAATGTGGATCTAATCAAGAATTTATTTCTTGGGTTAACCAAAAGAAAAATGTGGAGTGTGAACATCAGTCCATCTAGGCACAAAAGGAGCTCGAGGGAAGGAAAACATTTCACTTTGTATCACTTCACATTCTCAATTTAATGCATAAACAGGAGTGTCAGGACGTGTGCATCTTGCGGAGCCACAGAAATAGCAGTAGATTGATTTATCATTATTTACCAGCTTAGCCATCTTTTCATGTGCTTTCTATTATAATGTACTTGGAAAGCTCAGACAGTCCTTCTGCATTAACCTCCACCTTCTGTCGTCATCTTTCCCCCTGGCTGCCCTACACTACATTCTCAAATTTTAATTTCATTGTGCAGGGTGCCATAGAATGAAAAGAAACATTTGTCTGCGGAGTTTGCTGAGTCTAGGATATTCAGTTTGGCTTATGCTAATTTAAAAAAACAAGCAACCAAATTTGTGCTTTTGCTTTTTAAGGCTTTCCAGGGGTGTTTCATTCCATGAGCTCTGAAGGAGCAAAGCATTTACGAATATCCATTAATCCTCACTGGGAATTGATCCAGAGCCTGTTTTAAGCCTATGCTTAAGTGGTTTGTTGAACTGGGGCCATAGCTGCCCAGGCCCATCTCTGCCTGAGCTTTAATTGAGAAGTGTGAGCATTTGAATTCATTTACGTATGCTTGTGGGATTTGTTAGACATATATTTTTAAATAGCTATTGATGAGGTTTAAAAGAATTTATGCACATCTCATGATTGTAGGAGGTGTGAGAAAGGGCCAAGTCAGACCTTTGATATGACTTTGGCAAACAAATCGTCATTATTTCAGTACCTGCCTGATAACAAGACTCAGGGGCGAGTAAATATTCGTTATATTTTCAGCAAGCTGAAAAAAAAGACTTAGATCTGTACTGTGCAATTTTAGATCCTTGCCCATTGTTTATTTTGCTTGGCCGATCGCTTTTGCTCTGGCTTGGTTCTGGGGAAGGGCAGATGAAGCTTGGTTTGCATTCACCTCTTGGGTATGTGATGAAGAGGTCTGGTGCAGAGAAGCACCCTGCTCTGGTTGGTGCATTAGCATATCACTGACCCACTGCGGCTCATTCATGAGTTTTCAGCTCTGACAGGTTGAATGCCCAGAGTGGTCACTGATTAGACTGCCACTCCTAATATTCTCATCCCTGCAGTTATCAAGCAGGAAAATAGTGACAGGCACATCTAAGCAGCGTGGGAAATGCAGAAGCTGAGAAACGATACACTTGTAGCATCTTAGGGCATTTGCTGAGGCTACAGTGCCATTCAGGGTAATAGCACAATAGTTTGGATCAGGAAAGGAATCCAAATCTTGGCAAATAGAAGGCAAATCGCGCATCACATTTGCAACTTGTACATTGCTGCGTGATGCCTTGAGGGGGAGGAGAAGAATTTCAAAGTCCTGGGTGATTCCTTTGAGCTTTGTTGCTTTGTGCTCACTCGTGCTTCTGAAGAGATCTGACCCTGAAATTTCAGGGCCACCTACTGAACTCCAAAATCTCCATTCATCAAGACAAAACTCTTAATAAAGTCACTGGGGGTTTTCTTCAGACTCAGGGGTATTAGAATTTGATGATCCCTATATTTTGTTCAAGTTTAGGCATATCTATCAGTGAAAACGGGGATTTCAAACCTGGTGGAAGAAATTGTGTTTTCCCATTTTTAAAATAGACATCTTCCTGTTTTAGAGCAGTTTCTGACTGGTACACTGTAAGATGAGATTTTTTCCTCTTTCACTTTGCATATACACGTGTATATTTGCACCCGTTTCTCTTCCTGCAGATTTGGATCCCACTCCTGCCATCATCCTACCACAGATTCTCTGGGTCCAGTACCAGAGGATGAGATGCATGCAGTTGTTCACAGCATTCACTTGGGATGCGCTGAGGCCAAAATCAAAGCAGGTGATGCTCTAAGCTGAATCTGGGTCTCCACTGTCTCAGGTGAATACAGAAATGTCTTTTTTTCTATACAGCTTTTTTTTTTTTTTTTCCTTCAGAAAATCCTGTTAGAACTCTTGACATGTTTCTGACTTTTCCCCTGTGGAAATAAATAAATAAGTAATATATATGAAATAAAAAGAGAAAAGGAAAGAATAGGGTTCCATGAATCAGCTTTTTTTTTTTTTTTTTTTTTTTTTTTTTTTTTTTTTGTCGGAATACTCCTGGTTAATTGTAGCTCTTCTCTAAAAACACTTTTACCTCAGCTTTTATCTAAACATGGGAAGTGCCGTGTGCCTTTAGAAAAGAGAAAATCTATGGCTGAAGTTACGTGTCTGAACTGGGTTATCTGATAAATGTATTAATGAGCAGAAATTAGGAAAAACCCTGCATCTGAGGCTCAGCATGGTACAAGACCACCTGGCTAAGGTGAGCTTCCATATATCCCTCTCCTGTCTTTTTTCCCTGTTCAGTGCTGTTTTAAGGCATAGTTTTGAAGTGCAGCTATAGAAAGATTGAGTCCATTCTCCGTCCTCTGGGTGTGCTTTTACCTACAGAGTTGAGCAGGGCTGTGTGCAGCTGCTCTGGTGACTGGGGAAAGGATGCCATGTAGCAATACACACTTCTGTGCCTCTTCATCATGTCACAGGGAGTTTGAAAGCCACCTTGGGCTGCACTAATGGTAGACGGAGAGCAGTTCTGCATGTTCAGTCTACCACACACACAGGGATGAGTAGTCCTCCGTACTTCTTTTAAAGTAGCAATACTCTCAAACCCAGGTGGAGCTGGTCAAATCCATGGGCATTTATTTTCCCTTGGAAAGCTGAAGACTTTGATATGAGGTAGGTTGTTGGTGTCTGGGCAGCTGAGTTTAACTCCCCGTGCAAGAAAGCAGCTGGATGTGCGGCTCTCAGGTGTGCATGTGAACTCTGTCCATAGCACCCCTTCTTACCCAAGCTTGGAGGAGAGATAAAAGTCAAGAACTACTCTTTAAAAGTTCATTTATAAGTTCAGGCTTCCCCAGTGAATTTTTTGCATTGTTATTAGAAATATGCTGCTATTATGGGGGGAAAGTTTAAAGTTTTAGATAGACGTGAAATTCCCCACGTTTGGTATTAGGCTAACCCCAGGATTCTTGTAAAGTCAGTCAGTCAGAAAAAAATCTCATCTCTGTTCCTCAGTGCCCTCAGGTTTTGGGATGTGCTCCATAACCTGTCCTGTCATTCCTGCTCCCCACAGGTTCTAGGCTATCCCTCTACAGGAGGGAAGAAAAGGGGAACCAGTGACTACAGCAGGAATCCCCAACTTGAACACTAAAAAAAAAGAAAAAGAGATAGAGCCAGGGCTGATAAAGTATGGCTGCTTATATAAATGGCATTATATTTTAAATTATCCAGCTGTTTGGAGAGAGGCAGAAAAAATCTTTGTGGCTGTTCACTGCTGTTTGTTTTTTGTTTTTTTTTTTTTACCATGTATAGAGCGTTTCTCTATCCTTAGTCAAGAGATGTGTAGTAAGATGTTGTCAGGGCTTTTTTCTTTGTGTGTGTGTGTGCATAGGAGAATTAAATTAAAATTGAGGATAATAATAGCATAGAATGTGGCGATGGTTTGTCTTGTACTTCCAGCTGTTGTACTGTGAAGGGAGGGAGTCCCATCTGCACATGCCTCTTGCCCAAGGTGTCAGGGAGTTTGGATCCAGGTGGCTGGATTCTCTGCTGAAGCTCTGCTGTGCGCTGGAAACATTTCAGGATGCTGTTGCAAGCATGAGTACATCTTTAATTCTGTTTTTAAAGACCAATCATTTCATGTATAACTGTGTAGAGTTCATGTCAGAAGCACATCTGGATTTCAGTTGTTGATCTGGAATATTCACAGTCCAATATGGTAAAAGCAGATGTTGGATTGACAATCATCATAAATGTGAATGATCGCATCAGAAATCCCATATGTACCTTAGCTGAGAGCAGTAAATCCTACCTGAACACTCTTGGTTTTGTTCTGGGTTTAAGAATATTTACTGACACGTGTAAAGTTATTCATTACATATCTACAGATTTTAAGTATAAAAATGGAAGATTATTATAAGCCTTAAAAGGATTTATGTGCAAGTCGAGATAGGAATTGAGCTGACTGCTTTAATCAGAAGCCTTTTAATTCCTACAGCGTGGAACGGGAGTTCCCACAACTTTAAAAGTGAGTTTTATTGGTGTGAAAGCCTCATGTTTGGTTTTCTTTCTATATTTACTTACAAGTGTATGCACAAAGTGGAAGATGTTGAAAGATGATTTCGGTTTCTTAAAGCACCAACGCAAGTGTCTTCTAAAGCAGAATAGTTTGGAGCCCAACAGCTGCAAGCAGAACTTCTGCAGAATTAAAAAAACAGGCAGTGTCCACTTTCCTCTCTTCATCCCCATTTCTTTTCTCTCAATCATCCCCGTTGATTCAGCTTTACATCTAAGGACCATATTCTGCTCTTGCTGCCACTCGGTGGTGCAGTGGTGCTGTGATGCTGTGGAGGGGGGTTGCAACTGCAGCAGACTGAAGGCTCCGAGCTGGAGTAACATGGTGTCAGTTGAGGTGCTGCCCAATTTTGGAAGGATACACCTTTGGTTGGAGTTCCCTGCCTTATAGCTTTCTACAATATTGCTCACAATGCAATTCTGCAAGTGGGGAATGCCCAGGCTGGGCATAAAGCTGCAGTTTTTCAGGACCTTTCCTTCCTTTCTTGCATGTGCACCCTACAAGGTGTCAGCAAGATGCAGCACAGAATCCTGCTTGTGATGTTTTAATAGAACCATTTCCCAATACGCAAAATAGTGTTTAAGTTAAACTGCAACATTCCTCATTTAATTGGAAGTAATTTGTTGTTCTTTCAGGGGTTTTCACATTTGCCTTCATGGTGATTTTAATGTTGAATCCGTGCCCGGGAGGGAAGTAAGGAGAGGTAGGACTTTGGGATCTATCACCACCAGTGAGGAGTCTATCTGTCAATTAGGAATGAGATGTCTGTCTATCACAAGGGATGAGTGGATAATGGTGGACAAGAGATTAAGCAATTAAGGAGACAGCTATGCAAGATCTGGAGTTAAAACCCTAATTCTGGGTAGTGGGAGATAAAGGATCGCAGAGATTCAAGAGGGAGTGAATGACAGGGTTAGAAAATGCTGTTAGCCTCAGTGTTGAGTCAACATAAGGGAAGAGAAATCTGTGCAGAAGGTGAATAAGTTCTGAGAAAGGGGAAAGAGAGAAACAATGAGAGTGCATTAGGAAAAATGCACAGGGGAACACGGATGGCAGGAAACACGTGTAGGGTTTTATGTTACAAAATGTACCTCCTAAATTGAGCCATCCTAGAGTTTAGAGCGATGCAGATTTTAGTTTAATTTCCTTTCCTAAAAGAAAGCTTTTATTTCTGAATAGGTGAACTTTTAAGATTCTAAAGAAGGAAAAGCAAATACTTAGCAGGATGAACAAAAATGTAAATCTTGAGTAGAGCTGTAAGCTGTTCAGGCAAGGCAATTTTGCTGGATTATGTAGCTCATATCAGATAGTAATAAATCAACCCTTCAAAGACAAAAGACTATAGAAAGAGGAGTAAACCAAAGACTCTCCAAATAACAAAGGCCAGATACACAAAAGTAACTAAGGAGCTGAAGAGGCAAATAGATGCCTGGCAGGAGTTTAAATGGGATCATTCAGCACAGACACTCATCACCTGCTAGTGATTATTGGCTTCTTCAGCCTCCTTCAGGCCCAGACACTTCCTTGACTGAGCTTAAAACTCCCATCAGCATCAGAGAAACTAACTGATATCCCTAAAATCTGCATGTTTGGCATTGCATCCTGAAGGTAAATGGAATTTACACAGTTTGCCCTAGTGTAAGCAGTGACAATACACTTTTTGAATGCAGTTCTGTCCTTACTCAGTTGGATCATCCCACTGAGATGTCAAGTTTTGCACAAGTTTGCCTCTCTTTCTGATCTGGGCCTGACAAGATAGAATGATAAATTTTGAGCAAAACAGTGGCTTCTTGGGTATGATGAAAGAATTTTAGCTGTGGGTACTGGCCACTGATGATAGTAAATGCTCACTTGCTCTTACACTCTGGAAATGAGTTGTCTATAGTGAGAACTCCAGAGCTTGGGACAAAAAAGGCTTGAGACTTTTCTTGACGTGAAGGTAATGCAGCCACAGGAACTGGGAAGCATTTCCAAATCACCTGGCCTCAGGTACTATGGGCAGAGCTTCGCTCTGCTCATAACTGCATCCTCACCTGGTGCCAAATAAGGCTGTTTTGTTTACTGAAGTTAAGTAGAAGGATGACATGAGTCTTAAACTGTTGGGACCATGTACAGTAATGTATAGATTCCTGTCCTTCTTAAGTCAGAAGAAATAAACATAATAAGAAAGGTTTAAAATTCCCATTTAAAACAAAGCAAAAAAACATCAAAATCCTAGCAAACATTAAAAAACAAACAAATAAAACACAAAGAGAAAACAACTCCCAAGAAAGTGATTATTGAGGGCATGAGATCTTATTATGACTGAGATTTACTTGAATGTGCCAGGCACAGTGAGTAAAAGGCAGGCAAGTAAGGTTATTGCTGGAAAAGAGAGGTGAAAAATCCAGGAAAATTTGCAAGACTTGATCTGCCACTAATTTGACAACAGATGATGATGACATGTCTGTGAACATATGTTAGGGGGGGAAAAAAGGATCACAGTATTACAGGCTGTGCAGAAATAGGGTCACTGCGTATTTTTAGCTCCAGTTCTGGTCCTGGTTGGCCTGTATATCATCTTGAGTTTCAAAGCGTTGTTTAGTTGAGACTATTGTTCCTCTGTTTAGTTGAGACTATTGTTCCACTGAATACTTGAAGTGCATTTATTCAGAAAGAAGCCTTGGCTCCTTTGAATACAATATAATTATGCTTGCAATCCAAGCCTGTACAATTTTAGGTCCACTTCATTAAAGATTAATATTCTTTTTGCTTGGACTTGCACATAGCATTCAGCTGAAAAAAAAACACCTCAGAGTTCACATCTTGCAAGCCGAAGGGTGCTTCTGAAAGTGATTCTTTCCAGTCCCTCTTCCCCTTTGCACCAGAGAAGTGCTTTTCTAATTTCACACCTTAGAACATGCAGTCCTTAAATCGGCAGCATGGAACACCATGGAAGGAGGCCTTTCTGACTTTATCCAAAATCTATTTATTAATTCAAACAGTTCTTTTCCAAAAGCTGGTCTACTGTCCAAGGGCACATCTGATGCTGCTTTAGCCATTTGCATGGCTTTTTCATATCCAACTGCGTGACTCGGTATTGAATATAAAATTAATTTTGTACCAATTGAGCAAAAACCAGGCTGTGAAGTATGAGCTTGTCCACGTCCTGTTCCTGCTCTCCTCTCCACAGCATCTCTCAGTGCACA